TCAACCGAACCAATCGCATTGTCCAATTAGCTAACTGATTTATGTGATTGGCCAATTCCGTTGAGTTAATCGGTCGGTAGGATTAACTGGAATTGGGGTGGTTAAACACTTAGGATGACATTTGCGTTATTTAAACGGTCGTCAAAAATAAAACAGTCCAACATAGCGACTGCGAACACCCGTTTTCTTATATGTACCCTGGCCAAGCCCGTCGTGCTGTGCGAATTTGAAAACTCGCTAGGCTCGTCGATCTTGGGACATTTCGATCAAAGTAGATGGGAGGTAGCGAGGCGCGTAAAGATCGAACGTAGACACTGACATCGCCGCCGCACCTCGTCGTTGTCGTCGCCGTGTGTACATACCATCGGCCGCGATTTAAAAAGCCAGGAGCCTGTACATAAAACCGCGAGACAAACAAGCGAGCTTCGCAGCACGCATCCGCCTCCTCCGCCCGACGTTAGGAAAACGAACGACTGAGGCGGACAAGAGATAGGGGCTCGTAGGTAGCTGGCTAGGGAGAGAGGGTACGTACCTACTACCCTCGGTTGTTTCTCGGGACCGGTGGCGACCCGGGGGATGGGTTATCCCTTTCCCGCGTTCGTAAAGTAGGAATTTTTACGCGTGATATAATGGCCGCGCTTCTTTCTCACTCTCTCTCTCTCTCTCTTTCTCTCGGTGGCCGACAACGTCGACGACGGCTGCCTCTACCGGCCGAGAACAATAAAAGCCGCGCGCGCGCGCTTTCGTGAGATATCGGCGCTCTTTTTATGGAGTTAAAATAGCCGTTCGTTTCCCTCAGCTGCGAGCGGGAAACGCATCTCCGACTCGGAGGAGCGTTCAAGGAATAATCTTTCGTCGATCGTTTCTCCTCGGACCTCCCGGAAAAGCGGGAAAAGGATCCTTGCGAAGAGGCGTGTGTGTACCTCGGTAACGGCCGATCGGTCTTCACCTTTCTCCCCCCGTGTGGACGTTGAGAAAGGAATTATTTTTTTACCGCAGAAACTGAGAGATCGCGTCTGAATGCATCGCCGACCCCACGTCAGCGTTTTTCCCGCTCCTCGCATTCTGAGAGCGTGCGCTAGCTCGATTTTTCGTCGCTCTCGATAAATGTGGTCGGCGACGGGCGTCGGAGAAGAAGGGAATGTTCGGTGTGATATAATGCCCGCGTTGCAGCCCTTTTCGAGACCCGTGAGAGACCGGTCGGCGGACGAGCGAGCGGTCGGTCGGTCGGTCGACGGCTACGCGCGGGCGGGCCGAAGGCGAGAAAGAGAAAGGAAGAATATCATCCGACGCGCGCGATATGTTCGTTGGTATATAGAGCGCGCGCGGAAGGATCTATCTCTCCCAGATAGTGTCTGGGTGCGGGTGCTCTTTCCCTGTAGTACGAGGGGTGGGTGGCCTTCGCGCTGAAATGGCAAAACACAAGATACGGAGGAAGCGAAGGGACGGGGGGGTGGTATGGGGNCACCACGGAAATCAAGAGTAATGCCAACACGAAACTGCACTACCCCTCGCGCACCCTTGCCGACCCCTCCTCGCTCCCGTCTTGCTCTCACACCCTCCACCCCGTCCGTTTCTCCCGGTTCTTTCACCGTCCCTCCGTTTCTCTCCCGTCCCCCTCGCCTCTTCGCCCCCTACACCTCGTCCTCCTCCTCCTCCTCCCCACGAGATCCCTCCCTCCGTCCCTGGAGTCTGGTGCGCCTTCTCTTCCCGCCTCCACGAGTCACCTCACCGATCTCACCCACCCCCGGGGAATAACCCCCTCGCGGCCCCCGGTGCGAGTGAGCGCCGCGCCGCCGGCGAGCCTCGGAGAGACGGAAACGATAGCGGCTCCCACGAGCACTCGCTGCGACTAAGGGCGCGCGCTGCTGGATTCGGAGTATTCTCACTATCTCTTCCTTCTTCTCTCTCTCTCTCTCTCACTCCTTCCTCCCCTCCGTCTCTCTCTCTCTTTCTCTCTCTCTATGTCTCGGTCCGCCGAGGTCTTTCCTCGCTTCCGAGGAGGGCGAGTTCCACCTGCCTTCTTTGCGACTACTTTCGAGCGACGAGGTCTTCGTGCACACGTAAGGGCGAGAAAGCGGCGCGGCTACCTTCAGAGCGTGCGGACGATTAGAATATCGAATCTTTTCACAGGCGGTATAACATCTCGATCGAGCTGTTAACGGCGATGTCGACTTATAATATCGCGAGCGACGTGCGAATACCACGGCGTTCATCACCCACAATCGAGGATACTTTTAACCTCGGGATGTGATTAAATTATGAAAAATTAGGGAGTCATTTTGTTAGCGTTCTGATTAGCAGTTTTCACACACACATCCGTTTTATTATTAACACGAACGGATATTACGCAAGTTTATCGGAAGTCTCGACGGGAGCGAGCTGCTGTGTGTTACTGTTTTAAAGCGGATTTGAATCAGATTGTCCTGAGCTAAAGCACGATTGAGCTATAAAGGAGAAGGAAGGAAAATAGGAGGAAATTTTTAATCGCCACGTATTACATTATAGTTTATATATTTTCATATTATTAATCATATATTGCTAAGAAATAAAATTTTGCCGTATGTAATAATCGTGTCCACAATGAAGTGACGCTTCGCTTCTGCAGAATTTCATTTCCGCGAAATTCTCGAAGGGGACAAGTGGGCTTCGAGCTGTGTTAATCAACGGAGATTACGGCATTCCACAGGCCGTGATTCGCGTACGGAAAACGAAAGTGCAGAAAAGACTGGTTTTTTTCCTCAAATCCCACTCTCGAAAATGGGGCTATTCGTATGATCGGCTATATCCGTACAGACCCCACAGTAGCGGCGCAAAACGTCTTTTAATATACACTATATCTTCGAGGGGTTGCGTGTTTATCCTTATACGGTCTACCGCCGTGCGAGGAAACCGACTTGTATTTTGATACGAGCTAGTTTCCCTGAATCTGTCGTGAGAAAGAGAAAAGGATTTGCACTCGGCTATATATCGCAATATATTGTTTTATGCACGACTTTGTTACTAAAAATGTAGAATTATCGAGTTGTATAATTACCAGACTTTTCATGAACGCGCGCACACAAAATCGATCCCGATAAATAAATCTCAGTTAAAAGCAAAAATCCTCAATTTTCAAGATTATGTTCTATTTCGTCGTTTTATAATCCTGTTCACTCGTTTTGAAAATTGAAAAGTAACGGATGCCCTCGCCTTTTTTTTGGCTTTTCTTTGATTTATCGTAACAATCACTTTTTATCCCTTCGTATATTCCATGCACTCATTAGTTCAATTAAAGTTCGGGTTTATACGCTTCCGAGAAATATACGTGCCGTACGTGGGACGCTTACACGGCGGAAGTTGCGCGCTGTTGCTTTCCTAATTAACTAAATAAGCGGCAAGATATTGTTCGAGTTAGAAGGCCGCCGGGACCCGAAGGACGCGCAGGTGTTTCGCGTTCGAAAGATTTCTAACGTGCATCCGAGACGAAATGAAAGGAGGAGCCGGAGCGTTAAAACGGGCGGACCGCAGAACGGATCTCGTCTGCTTATATTGCAGCAGATTAAATTAATTTCGGCAAATTAATTGGTAGTTAAGATGTTTAGCGTTAAGTGAGAGTCTAGTATCTCTCTCTCTCTCTCTCTCTCTCTCTCGCACTCTCGCTTCTACTTCTACAGCCTAATCCTACTTGCGTTTATTCTTACTCACCCACGGAAAATCACTTTCTCTCATTTTCGCCCTCGCTCTGCCTCATTTCGCTTCCACGTTTCTTTCCTTGCTGAACAGCTTTACAAAGGACCACATAGCAGGGAATCCAGCTCCAGAGATATAAATTTACCCGAATCCTTCATCGCGGCGTATCGGTTGAAAATAACCTAATTGTTCACCGTCATTTAAGGTGGATCCATCATTGAGTCTGGATCCATCATTGAGTCTTGAAGATGAAGAGTCCACGGATTTGCTGTTGAGTCGTAGCATTAAAAAAAAATACTATGGAATCCGCTAATCATTAACAAATTTATAGGAAGACGAAAACGATCTGTCCTGACTTGCCGTTGACTTGACGTACCGCGAACCCGGCTTACCAGTAGATATGGTGGCGGCTCGTAGCGGATTTTTTAGAACTAAAAAGGTAACGTAGTCAAGACTCAAACATAGTCTAGCCAAGACATAAACCTCATTCGACCGACGCTCAAACGTGTCGGTACAACAAGTCTCCTCGCTCGATAGGTGACGTTATGCGCGCCGTTTGCAGATTGTTTATGGATCCACGCGTAAAATATAATAGTCTAATAAACAACGTATACTGTGTGTCATCTATATAGACAATAAATAAGCTGTAAAGCTGTTATAAAATGGCTCTTCTTTTTGCATTTACGATGCCGCGAGAAATCAATAATAAATTTAGCGAACTTGATTTCACACCGATAACTAAGGAAAATAAGTGTTCAATAACCTACGGGTGAATTCAAATGATAAAATTTCAGTGTTAATTTTATGTACCAACTTTGTAATTTTTAATATTAAATATCTTCATAATGAACATCAAAATATGATACGTGAGTTATTTTATGGTTTAAACTAATTTAAACTAATAAATTATCCTTTCTCTTTGCGCTGCGCTACGTAATTTATAATATTTGACATAATTTATATTATTTACATGAAAAAAAATCTGTATAAACATTACGTAGACAATACATAAATTATCCATACAGATGTAATTTTCAATTCTACGACACAAGCCCTGTTCAGCGGATAAGCGTTTTTACCTTAAACTATAGTTCCAGTTTCTCCGCTAGGAGCCGTCACCATTTCTACTGACGAACCGTTTCTTTTCCAAGTTGATTCGTGTAATGGTGAACAGTGAACATTTTATTTTTAAATAGTGCTACTTAAGCAGCAGATCAGAACGACTTCTATTCTCAGTTAAGTTGCGACAAGTGGTGACAACGGGGACCAGACAATATTTCCACTCTCGGGTAATACAACTTAGAGAGAGAGAGAGAGAGAGAGGCTGGTAAACTACAAGGACGTTTATTTTCACTTGTACGGCCAACAGCAGAAACCAGGTAACCTTTTTATCTTTAAGGAGGCGACTTAATGACGGGAATCAGGACTTTCATTCTCAAATAGTTCGACTTGACAGCAAGTCAAACAAACCTCTTATTTTTCGGCAACACATTTAAATAACGGTTCGAGTAGATTTCCATCGTACCTGTTACTGAGAAATGAAAGTCCGTTTAATTATACGGGAGAGAGAAAGAGAGAGAGAGAGAATCCAAATAGGACAGGTTTCGCGATTCGTAACAAATGCAAATAGGTTAGGCGATTCGTAACAAACACACGCGTGACAAATAGTATGCGAGTGTTGCGTAGAAAATAACGCAAATGCTTAAGCTAATTATCCTCAGTCTTAGAGATAATAAATATATAACGAAAGATCAAATCGATTGCCGCCTCGTTTCTCTATCGAATAGCGATCCTATCCGTAGACGCCTAATATACATATTATTACTAATAATTTATTAGACACTAAGTAATTGTGAGAAATATATTAGACATTATTGATTATGCTGGATGTTCTCGCAAATGATTATCCGGACGTCGATTCTTGTCTCCAATACCGCTTGTCGCTTAGCCGAAAATGCATCATGTTGTCTGTTTGATCTTAACTAATCTAATCCTATCAATATATGGTACGTCCTTAGTTTTATCGTTCCACGCAATTTACTCGTACAGTAATAGCTTTTCAACCCTCCACCCCTTATTTAATACCGACTGAAACTCGGTGGTTGTCTCGATATCGACTGCATCGTGCAATTGTTGACGGCATTACTCGCGTTATCGCGCGTCTACATTCTCGATCGTGTAATTCTTGTCTAACTCTGCTCTGATCAATTGCGCCAATCGCTCCATCGCCTGAAACACAATTATCCACGCACGATATTATCTGTCATTATTTAGTTTACTGGTTCAGCGGCGGTGATCCTGCAACATTCGATGAAACTTTAGTCACCGACGATGAAACAGTTGCCGCGTATCGATTATGGTGAACCAAAAGAAATAAAAGGGACAGTTTACTGGCGGAAAAGAAAGCAAAAAATAATATTATAAATCGCTAAAATTTAAATTGTGTGTCGTTTTGAAATATTTAAACTTTAAATGTTTCTCACAAATGATTACTGATAAATATCGATCAAATAAAATTATCTTTCTTGCAAACACATACGCGTATCTTCAAGCCTTCTTACGATAATTGCGGTTTGTTTAATCGTGGAAACAATGCGGTGATAGGACATTTAAAAAATTGATTGCCTACCAGATCCATCTCCTCGTAAGAAGCCTTAGCGAAACTCGCCCTGATGGCGTTGCAGGGTTTCGTGGTATCCATCATGAACGCGGCCCCCGGTGCCATAATGACACCCTCGGTGACGCCACGCTGCATCATCATCTTCCACGTGTTTTCAATTCCACGTACTTTTATCCACAAGAAGAAACCGCCTTTCGGCACGTTAAAGTCCACCAGACCTGTGAATTAATTCGCGACTTTTTCTAATTCCTGACTTACGTTCTTCCACTTACTTGCGCCAGCAAAACGAGAGATTCTTCGCCACGATATCAAGTTTTTGAAAGCCATCCCGAGCAGCAGATATTGGTTGACTAACCATTGTCAAATGTTGGCCAATCAATTTGTGCTTCTCGGAATATGATACATATTATGTTTTTAAACAATTATCGTGAACAATTCAAGATGATCAACATCCAAAACAGTCTTGCATGTTTTCTCAATGTGGAAATATAAGTTTATCTTCTTATTTTTGTCTATTTCCCACGTTCATTTTTCAAATTAATTCGTGAGCAACTAAATTATACATGTTTTGCTTTTCGAGAAACAAAACATATAAATTGTTTTTGGAATAGAATATTATTTGAAAATAGAATGAAGATACGACTTAAAATAAGTGGCTCGGAAATACAAAAATCCATCGGGGATGACCGTCGGGTCTGTCACCGTTGTCGACACCCACCGTTCAAATGTTTGTGCGCCAACGCCGCGATAACGTCCCTTCGCTCCTTGTAGAAGCATCTCAGTCTCATGTAATGCGCCAGCATACCATCGTAACCCCACATCTTCAGCAGCTTATAAAATATCACCTAAAGCCGAGCATGGAATGCATTGCATTTATTCTTTCTCTCTTTGCTTCGCGCCGCGTGATACGGCGCGTTCAATATGCTTATAGTCGCGATAAGAGCCGACACGCGCCACTGTTGTTTTGTTTTACAAACTGCGATGAAAGTACGAGGCAGGCGTGCGTGAATGCATGCAACGTTACGGGCGAGAGAATTTCATCATACAATAGAATAATATTTACAGTTGTTGCCCCTTTTTTGTTGCCATAATCTCGCCGTCTCTTTCTGCATTTGCGAGAACGAACGTAATCGTCGGTGCAACGTCGTTCCGTTTCGTTACGTTCGACGTTGCTTAAGACAAATTATTATTGCTGTTCGAGAATCTCTTCTCAATTCACGTCGAGAGATCAATCGAAAGCGTTTCTGAGGTGTATCGTCGATTTGAAGAGAAACTTTCTAATAATTATCGACGATTCAGAATAATTAATTTTTAAAATAGTACTCAAAATTTCAAATCGGTACGGACGCGACGCAATGTTGTATCGGCGGCAGGAAACTTCGGGGCGGGGGTATGTTTCATCGCGAAAGGTAAAGTTTGACCTACCAACCTGCGATAAGGTAGGCGCGTGGAGGTGACTGCTCTGCAGGTGAAGCTCCACGCTGGCTATCAGCGGAGCTGCGGCGGTCACGAAGCCCACTCGAATGCCGCTGCTGATCACCTTCGAGAACGAGTCCAACCTGATCACCCGACCTTCCGTGTCGAGCGACAGAAAGGACCGAGGCTCCTCCTACGCGATCAAGAATACGATTTGCTTTAGAATTTACACGCTTTCGCCGCCGTTTCACCGCGAAAATCGTTTGTCACGCTTTCATACGCGTTGTCGCGATAACGGAGGTCACGGACGGCGCGGCGGTTACATTATTAGGATTTTATAGAATGATTCCTTAACATAATTCGATCGATAGATGAGCCGTATTATAAAGCTCAGAAATCAATGAAATGTAAAAATTCAAGGTGCGCCTAACACATAGATAGGGACTGTATGTGTGTGTGTGTTTAGTCACGAGAAGGTTGAAACACTTTTTCTCGATGATTTTCGCAACGCATATCTCATAGGAAAATGCATCTCTTGAGAATTATTAAAGGAAATTTTTCTATAAAAATTCTCTTAATCTGATCTCCACGGGATAAATTCCAAAACTTATAAAAAAGTGTTTAAAATCTTTCTGTGACTGACACCACATATGCAATACATTCAATCGTTAGTAACGCATAATGTGAGTGGAAACTTGGAGTGAAGACAAATGAGGACGCACGCGCGAAGTAGCGGCTCGGCAACAATTGTGACACATGTTGCTTATCTTTCGTGGCGAATTTTTTAACATGTTAACTGTCACGTCAGTCACCAGTGACTGACACTGAACTTTCCGTTCGGACTGCGTTAGTCACCGGTGACTGACAGTATAAAGTACGATATAAAATTTAAAAAATTACATAGTTTAATAAGTAATTTCAGGATCGTATAAATAATATACTTAAATATTTCTTATCAAAAAATTTTAATGGATTTGGACTGACGGAGATTTCCTCCGAAATGCGCGTGGCAGTTAACGTGTTAAATATCTTTCACGTATCGCTCGAATTTCAACTTGTAACCGTAATCATCTTTTCCTTGAGAGATATGTCGACGGCATTTTATCCATTCATTTCTACATTTTGCGACTCTATTCCTTCTTATCGGTTTCGCGATCATTTCGCATTTTTATAACAGACTTTTATAACGTTCGTACGACCTGTATACCTTATCGGTTTAATTGCATCATAATTTCTATTATGATTAAATATTCAACATCAATTTGGCCGAGATGGCAACAATCGATCTTTCATATCGCACGAGCGCGTATACGCGAATAAAAAGGTTGTTCCCGCTCTCTCTCTCTCTCTCTCTCTCTCTCACCTTATCGAAATGCATGAAATGATAAGGGTCGTCATCGACAATCAAGAAGTTGTACTCGCAGGCTATACTGTAGATCTCCTTTCGTCTCTCCAGAGGTATAATGATGCCAGTCGGGTTCGTGCCCGTGGGATTTATATACATTATCTTCGGCATTTTCTCGCCGGACAGCTGCCGGTCCCTTAGGGTCTCCCTGAGCGCTTTCGGAACAGGACCGTCGTCGTCTTGAGAGATAGCTATGAGTTCTGCTTGATGGGGCGCCACCTTGATTAGAATCAATGACAGGCGTATTATCACAGCGATGTTAAAACAATGTATCGATTTGTACGTTTTCACACGTTTTACCAATATCGTCGATCCACGTGGAAAGAATGAATTTAAGTGATTCGTTAGAGAAAACATCGAAAATAATGGCGAAGTTGCACAAAATGGTAGTGTAAAAAAAGGATCGTAAACTCACAATAATTGATTGTCGCGCGTTGGTTTTATGTATCAAGTGCACCGAATATTTCATTCGATCACGGATTCTTTATACACGGTAAAAAATAAAATACCAATTTTAACATTTCTCACATGTCTCAGAAAATTCGCTCTAAATTTAGGTCGAAAAAACTCATTCGTTTTACGTTACTTGTTCGTAAGTTGCTAATGTTAATAAATTGATATCAGCACATTTTCTTCCAACACATGATATTAATTATTTTGAGTTAAGTTTCTCTCTGTCTTCTCTTACACACGCACATTCTCTCTCTTTCTCTCTCTCTCTCTCTATATCTACTAACCACAACTTCGACGCCAGGATACAAAGGATTGGGGACCAAAATCGGATCACCAGTGCCGATTACAGCCTCCAGAATCTTGCTCAGGCCGTCCTGAGCCCCCGAAACGACGACTATGTCACGGCTCTCCCATAAGGGCGGCGCGTGTGCCCTTCTCTGGTATTCCCGGAGGGCCTGAAATCAATTTGACGTCCGACGTTGTTAGACACATTGTAGACGAGAGTCCTTTATCTCGAAAGAGGAAAGAATCCGGATGCGCCCGACGTGGTGTGCACGATTATTATATCGGTGCACACACACATTCATCTGTCCGCGTATTTATATATTTATCTCTTCCCGCAAACACGTGCGTGATATCATTGAAACGATATCGTAATCGAACCACGCTTCCGGAATTCCCTCGATTTTTAATTGACGCGTTTCTCTCCCTTGTCTCGCGTTTATTCCGCAATTACGCTGTTTCCGCGTTTCAAAATTTTCACACTTCGAACGACATCGAAAACATAAAGTCGAGCGCGTTCACGTTCGCGTTATTTTACAAGACGTTGACACGGGATATCGTGTTCGATACTTCGAAGTTGATAATGCGATGAAATCATTTTCCCTACCTGCACGAGGGGAGGATAACCTTGCGTAGGTATGTACTGCAGAGCGGCAGCTAATTCTTTCTCGTCGAGAATGAAGGACGTGCCATCGTAGAGCTTAACCGAGATTTCCGTGAACGGAAACGTTTTCTCGTTGGGCATACCCTCCGCCAAGGAGACGGTGCTTTTCGGCGCGGAATATGCTATTTTCGCTGGAACAGAAACAAAAGAGGAGCCTCATCGCGCGTCGTCGATAGTGATTCGATCGATGACTGCCGATGCAAGGCAGTCATTGTGTATCTACATACTTAAGTAATTGCACGTGCACCTTTCATTAAATTTGTCAGTGTAATAATTTCACGATAAAAGAAGTCATCTCTTAAATTTAATTGCGCACTCGTAACTCCAAATTTCGAGGTAAAAAGCAAAAACACACATTCAAGTTTAACGCTGAGTTTAAATATACTCACCATGTCCGAATGTTCAGTTTTGCCGTTTTGTTACGACTAATTTTTCGATTCCATTTTAACGAAAACTCTGAAAATCTCGAAATTCTGCCGGGTCACCATACGCGTAATTATCGCAATACATACAACCGATACATCGGGATATAAATGTTAACAAATTCTCGCTGATTAAAAATAAACCGCTAGGATCACTCGCCAACGTGTTTCTCATTAATACCGCGAAATGTCGGATTAACAATGCGTAAGAAGCGTTAAGTTACAGTGAAAATAAATGTTGCATTCTTACTCAGCTCCCGCGTCGTGGCAGGTCGCCTGCGTTTGGACACCTCCGTCATGAAGTGTGAATAATCCATTCTTAGATTTTTCTCGATCGCCGTGTAGCTATTTGACAATCGTGGTTGCACTTTTCGAATCGATCGATTGATTACCACGCACAGGTGTTCTTACATATAGTCGCTGCTTAGGAATTATTTTCCTCGGCACTTGACACAACCGGCCGTAATTAATCAAGCCAAACTTAAATCCGATAGAAAACAACAGCTGGACAACTTTACAGAATATAACAGTTGAATACCCGAAGCGCTCGCACTTTACATATGTATCAATATTATCGTTGTATGTCTCTCTCTCCCTACTTCCTTTTTCTCTATCTCTCTCTTTCTGTCTCTGTCTTGACACGAATGAACTGGTTAAAAACGCACTCTTCCTCATGTGTTCGTACGCCTCCACTACTCTTTTCAACACTGACGACGTGCCCGGTTGAGCCTGCCTTTATATTTCGTGATAACATTGGTTGCGTCAGATAACATTAACATATTTGAAAAAAGATCACGTCCGCGTAGGAAGAGGTTCCCCCATTCACATTTTCCACGATGCGTCTGCTTCAGCCGTGCTATCTCTTTAGTAAAGATTATAGACATTGACCCTTGCGGATTGTCGTTGTCGTTAGGCGATCGTCACGTTGCGATAAGAAAACGTTGCATCGTCGCGTGCTGAATGCAACTTCGTTACAGATAGAAGAGAGGTAATGGAAACTGAAAGAATCTCGAGAAACGTCGGGTTCATAAATTTGAGAAATGGGAAGTTTTCTCTCAGAAACTCCGGCTCACGACAGACAGTAGCAAACTGAAGAATTACTTCGCTCGCAAAACTTCGTATTACTTCGGAAAAATATGATAACGATGAGATACTAATTTTCTACTTGCTTTATTTGCTTTTTCGTTTGTGTGGTAAGCCAATTAAAAAAAATTTTCGGTAATCACCGATAACTGTTTTCCTATTTTATCGATTTTTCGTAATTTTCTAAATTATATTAATAGATATACCACCTAAACTATCAACCATAATTTCGAAGACGCTAAATAAAGGTTGCTGAAAAAATAACAAATCTTCCAAGATATTTAACGGGTAATTTATCTACAATATTTAAAAAAGAAAACTGTTTAAAAAATAAATGAGATACCATGTATGAGAGATAACACGTAATTCTTACGTTACGCGTTTCAATGAAAGCGATAAGATATTCTTAAACAGGTTTTCCGAGCTATTTTTTCCCAAGATGTACTGCTCTCATGATGTAATCGAATGTACGATTACATGGGTGAATGAATGATGAAAGTGTCTTTCAGGAGTATCGCATACGAGCGCGCACGATATCGCATCTGTTATACACGCCATGGAAAGAAATACATCACATATCGCGCGACGAACGATCATTCAATACCGAAAACGATATTGAAGGTTGCGAAAGAGGCCAACGGACTTTCTGCGTTGGCCTTCAACTGTGTTTACCGGTGAGAGATGAAATTTTTCCTCGCGCCTTATAAATATGTATCGGGAATAATGAAGTGCGGAGGCCAGCGCGCATAGGATATATTCGAGAGTTCACCGGCAATCGTCACGATTAGAGGGACAGTACCGGCTATTTAACGCGAAGAAATCATCGATCCTCTCACCTTTTCCTCTTTCTCCAACACGTTTCTCATCTCGTGTGATAGGGTTATTTATATAACAGTTAAAAATTTCTCGAGCCTCGCATTCTGACGCAATGTAGTCGGCCGGGATTTAACTTCAGCGCGCGCTTCGCCGCGACGCATAAAGCTGACTCGAAAGAAAGGATGATGAAAACGAAATGTTTTTCCTCGCAATTGCGGCCGGCGTCACGCTACCGCGCGCCGCTACGCTTTCCCGGTTGCAAAATTCGCTCGTAACACCGGCAGTCATGTTTACATGTTCTTCCGTTATGCGTCATTAGAAGATCGTATGACAAGCCGCGACGTAATGCGTCGCGCGTTTGTAGAGAGAAGTAAATATTTAATTAATTAATAACAGAGATCGCGTAATTTTTGATATTACGTCGAATTAAATGTCTTTCAGTCTCTCTCTCTCTCTCTCTCTCTCTGTCTCTCTCTCTCTCTCTCTGTCAAATATCACGCGAAAGCGTTTTCACAGCGTTACGCTTAAAAAGGGATTTGGTAATAATCAGAGTTGGGAAAGTTACTTTTGAAAAGTTACTCGTTGCCGTTACTCGTTACCGTTACTCGTTACTCATTGAAAAAGAGTAACTCGTTATCGTTACTTAAAAAGTAACGAGTCGTTATAATTAAATTCCGTTATCCGTAAAAATGTAACGCGTTATCGTTACTATTACTAATGAAAAAAATGTAACGTCGTTACCAAATTGATTATGATTATTCAATATCTTTTATTACGCAAATTAAAACATAGGGGCGACATGATCCTCCGAATCAAGTGTCCCCTATCCCTGGATAAAATCTTCCAGAATAGAAAGCACTTGGTACGTTTTGATTGTTTTATTAAAATGTACATTAATCGAAGAATCATTGGTTTTTAACTTGACCAATGTGGTTAGATATATTATTAAAATTTTCTATGATATTAGCATAAGAGCGTTTTGATTTTCCTTCCATTTTCTGAGATATTCGACAAAATCAAAAGGGACTAATTATCTTCAGATTCCAACTGTATTGCAGCACCATATATTATATACAGCATATAGTATAACGAAACAACTGAGCCGAAACTATTTAACTAAATCTTGGTAATTGTTACCAAATCCCCTTTTCAGTGTGTCAATTAGAGTCGCGTGCAATTAGATTGCATTTTCTAATTGAGAGAATTCATCAAATACGTGCTGTTACGAAACAAGATTCGAGCTGGTCGATGTGATGGAGAATCATCGATATCGTAATTCGCGATTGTTCTCTTGCAGCGTGTTTATCAATCGCGGGAGTGATATAACTTATTCGCATCGTGCGTATGCGGACGCGCGGGCGCTGACAATACGTGTTTGCACGCGTAATCGGTCGTTAATAACCGACATCGGGCAAAATTGCAAAATAGTTGAAAAGTCCGATATAACAATAATACGTCGAACCAGCGGTATCCAGTCAGATGACGAAACGGAGTCGAATATTTGGCAGACTGGCGGGCGGGTGGACTGTCGTGAAAAAATTTACAAATCGAATGCATGAGTCGATCCTAATAGAGAGGATAAACGACGCGTCGGAATTTGCGCCGCGGCCATGGGAAACCGTTACTCGAAACAAGAAATATACAGAAACTGGAATTCTGTGTATAAATAGAGAAGCGTAACAGGGAGAGTGAATTTTAATTGACTGTCTGAATCAAATGGCCTAGGCACAATTTTCTTTGTCCATCGTCATGTATTTAACGTTCATTTCAAACGTCAAACATTTTAATATTTTCAGGGTACTGACATCAATCTAAATCGCTAAATCCAAAATCGAGAGTAGAAATTTCCTATCACGTTTCGCTTCATTTTTCGTTCTACATGTCATTGTATAATATGATTATTGTGATTTTGTTGAAATTTCTTACATGATAGCAATAATAAATGGATTTGACTTTCGAATTCAGCGTATCGACTTTAACCTAAATCATTTTGCTAGATTTAAGCAATGATCCTAATGTTTCGATTTGCAATCTAATATTATTGAGGTTAACTTCTTGCAACCTGACCTTTCTTCCTTACTCACTTTCTTTCTCTCACTTCCTCATTCGCTTGCTCCAAGTATTACTATGCAAAGAAAATAGCGATCTTTCAATATATCGAATTCAATTCGAATTGCGCTTCTCTAATTATATCTAGGATTTTAGCAGAAACAAACCGAGTCGAAATTTTTATTCTACGTTAAGTTTACTTGGTTCTGCAATACATATTTATCATGCATTCTATGCTCCTTTGATGCTACAAATAGAAAATTATTTTCGTTTTCTCTACGTAAAGACTTAAGCTCGTATTTTGAACGCGCTTATGATAATGATTTGCTGATAAGTCAAGAGATATGAAAATTTTTATCGCTTACCTTCTAAACGTGATGATAGCAATTTTTTGTTAAAAGAAATCGATAATTATGCGAATTTCTAGCAAAATTTCTATTTAGAATTATTACTAAGTTGACTTGTTGACGCGCTAATCTTTGTAAACGCGTTCAGATTATGAAGTCCTTATTATAGAATTAATATAGAATTAAATAATATAGAATTAAACATTTTCTTCCAAGAGGTAAAAATTCCTTTTGTAATATCAAAGGAGCATCAAATAAGCTCGATCAGAGCTTTTTTGATGCTACAAATGAAAATTATTTCCATTTTTCCACTTGAAGACTTAATGTAGAACATAAAATTTCAATTCAGGTGATGAACTAAGACGAAAGGGACGATCGCCGCGGGCGTGAGATTCCGGCGCGACACGCGCTTGTTCGACACGCATTTTTTCTTTTCTTTGCATTTCTACGACACACGAGCCCTTTGCTATCACAGTGAAAGTGCGACTCTCGCCTGTGACCAAACGACGAGCGATATTTCATGATAATTTCACTTCATGATAATTTCATTTCATGATAGGGCAACATTTCTCGAGCGACGAGAAGCCGATTTTTCTAGTTTTGTTATGAAAACCGGTGCAACGTCAGTGTCGATGATGACGCCGCCGCGATAATAAAGTTTACGATTTTTCTTCTCTCCTCTCATACGGACGTGCGAAAACATCAAGCGCGCGAGCGCGACAGACGTACAGCGTCTGAGTTATCTCCTAGTTTCCTCAAGGCTCAGCATTAACGCGAGATTCAGAAGCTTATCAAACGCTGATAATAAGGCGTGTTGTTCATCGTTATTTATTTATAATATGGAGCGATCTGTGCACGCACGAACCGATACTGGTATTAATATTGTCACGGACCGTTTACACCGCGCCCCCTTTCGATACCGATAAATCACGGCGCACGCGGTACGATAAACACTTATCGTGCATCAATCCCGTGCATATACACTCGTGCACCACGCGTCAGCGATATACGCGCTGCTAATTACATAAAAATTACGACTCTTCGGCTACGTGAACCCGGCGAGTCACGAGGATTTTTCGTGACCGCGTCAAATTCTTTCTCGGATCTGCCAGCGTTTATATGATCTCGTGTTTGCCGAAATTACAATACGTGCAATCCCCGAGAATTCGCCGCCTGGCTAAAATGAACTCGCGACTATGAAAACTTCGCGAAGTTCAATTGATATATTACGGTCGGCACGGGTCATCGACGGGCTGATTAAACGTATGACGCAGATCCGTCCAGCTTTCCATGTCCATCGTGCGCTGCTATTGAGCATGACTCAATAGCGACTGTTTTTATAAATCCAAGAAGCAAGAAAACGGGGCGGCCCGATTGAAGGGAAAAAACTCTCTTCCGTGTGATTGCGCGAA